CCCCCCCGGCGGCGGCGGCGGCGGCGGCGGCGGCGGCGCATCCAGTGTCTCCCCCTCGGAGTACGACTACGATCTAGTCGTGATCGGGGGCGGATCAGGTGGGTTAGCATGCGCGAAGGAGGCGGCTAGGCTGGGGAAGAAGGTGGCCTGCCTGGACTTCGTGAAGCCCTCGGTGATGGGCAGCAAGTGGGGTCTGGGCGGAACCTGCGTGAACGTAGGCTGCATCCCGAAGAAGCTCATGCACCAGGTGAACGATTAACTTAACTTATGGTATCAACCACCCTGTTTGGAAGGGGGATTATATGTCATTCGCGTATTTAGGTTGGTATCAGGAATGATCCGGACAGGGTGGTGTTTGATAGCTCGTCCTGCTTTGTTGCGTTTCTTTTGCACGAACGCACGCACTCCTTGTGGTTGTCGTTTGCGCTTTGACGCGTATGTGTTGCTGGTGTATGAGGATTTACGCAAACACTTAACGACGACAAAAAACAGGCGGCGCTCCTAGCGGGACACGCCAGTGACGCACCCTTCTTCGGGTGGCCGGCGGGACCAGAGGGCGAAGACGGTTCTCGATCGGAGGAGGATGGAGGCGTGGCGGGGGGAGAGGGGAAGCGGTCGGTTACACACGACTGGGAGGTTATGGTTCAAGGGGTGCAGAACTACATCAAGGGGCTCAACTTCAAGTACCGGACCGACCTTCGCTCGAAGGGGGTGAGCCGCCACTGCTGCTGTTGCTATTGCCGTTGTTGTTGTTGTTGTTGTTGTTGTTGTTGTTGTTGTTGTTGCTGTTGCTGCTGCTGCTGCTGCTGCTTCTGTTGTTGCTGCTGCAGCTTCTTTGGCGGTGGCTGCGGTGGCGTCTGTCTTGCCGGTGTTGGTGTTGTGGTATATCCGTTGCACTGTTGGCTTTGCTCGTGTGATTTGCACAGCAGGAAGCCTGCCGCACACAAGAGCAGGGTAGTTCCCCTGGTTGTAACTCTCACGTTTAGCGGGTGCATCTGGAAACGTTGGTGGCTCGCTGGACGGAAGCACGGCATGCGGATGCACTCGGTGCCACGTGTTCACGAAGTGTTTGCATGTCGCCAACCCCCGTGCACCCGCGCTGTTGGCACTTTCGAGCAGGTGGAGTACATCAACGCGCTGGGTAGGCTGCAAGATGTCCACACCGTGGTCGCGACGGATAAGAACAACAAGGTAAAAAACTACCTGACGCAGAGGATTGCCTTGTAGGTGGTGGTTTTATGTGCTTTACTGGCGCCCTGGTGGTCCACTTGGTAACCTCGTAACCTTCTGACTCTGTAAGGTTAGGGTTCGAGTCTCGGTGAAGTAAAAAAATGGCCATCCATGGTAGGTGAAAAGCGCATAGTCGTGAGTAACCGTAAGAAGAGGGAAGGGTCTGCTGTACATTGTCGCGAAACATGTTGAAGCATTGGATTTCCCCACCTGTGTGACCCCGGCTTTGCGTCAAACACATACCTAAACGTGTACCTAGACTGGCGCCCGGAATTACTGGGACGGCACACCCTACGGGCCACCTCCCCTTGAAGCCGAAAAAACATGGTAGTATAGTTGGTTTTGAAGCAACGCCTCCATGGAGAAGAGTCACACTCTTTGCCGGGGGACATAGCGTCTCACCTCACTCGTCATTCCCTAATCACGGATTAGTGGCTGTCCTTGACCTCATTTTTGGGCCGCTCAAGAGCCAGAATCGGCGCTCGTCGCTCGCCCCTCCCCCCCTTCTTTTGGTTCCTTTTCGTCGTCCACCCACGCCATACCAAGGTCCTGGGGTGTGCGGTAGTGCGGTGCTTCCGCCATACCCCTTTCCTTGTCAAGTCCTCCGCCACACGCTCTGCTACGGGTGGGAATGGTGCGTGTTGCTAGAGTGCGGTCGTTTGTGTGGTGTCAGGCCGCCCGGTTGCTGTGATTTACAACCGGCGCTCTTGCAAATTTATCACCACTCACGCGTGTACCTTTGGTCTGTGGGGTGACTCGATGGGACCCCTCAGGAGCGCGTTCTGAGCTGCGGCTCCGTGGTCGTTGCGGTGGGCGGGAGGCCGAACCAGCTGCCCTGCGAAGGTGGCGAGCTGGCGATGACGTCTGACGACATTTTTTCCCTGAGGACGCCTCCCGGGAAGACGCTAGTGGTGGGGGCTAGCTACGTCGCGCTTGAGTGTGCAGGTGCGGCGGGCGTGGTTTCCCCAAGGGGTAGGGTAGGTCTTTCGTTGTATCTTCTCGCGTGCGGTTCAAGGATGTCCGTTCCTATCTCAAAGGATGTTCTGTGTGCTGACTTCTGTCGCTGAATGTCGGCGTGCAGCAGGTCGGCGGTACGTTTGCGGCGCTTGGTGGGAGCGTTTGTCCCGATGGATATCTGTGCAAATCCAACTTTGGTCGGCAGCAAGGCCAGGAGCATTCTGACGTGCGACCTTCTTTCGATGGTGACGGAACGCAGAAAAAACATCGTTCCCTCGCTCGTTTTGGCGCTATTCCAGTCGTTGCGTGCAGCTACCTGCTAGGTCGGTGAGAGGTCTTGCCGGAAAAGCAAGTTCCATGGTGACGGGTGTTTCCGACGAGGAGTGTGACAGACAAGCCGCGACCGTTTCGCCTACAACGCGCCGTCGCAAAATGAGCAGGTTTCCTGACCGGTCTGGGCGTGGATACGACGGTGATGGTGCGGTCGATCCTGCTGAGAGGCTTCGACCAAGGCATCGCGGAACGGATCGGGAGCTTCATGGAGGCTGAGGGCACTCGATTTCTTAGGCCTGCCGTACCGCAGAGGTGAAACAAGTGGTGCCGTCACCGCGATGTACACGGCTTTCCAAGATAACATCTTTTTGGCTCTCGTCGCTGGTGGTGGCGGCAGTGCTTGTGGTGGCATTGTCTTTGCAGAGTACGAGGAGTGCCTGACCTTGCCACAAAGCGTGCTCAACAGAGTAGGAGGAGTGCCTAGCCTGGCCGCAAAGAATATTTTACTGTTGATCGGATGAACGCTTAAGTCAGATTTTGTCTCGCTGGACTGGCTCACTTCCTCAGACCAACGGTACCGCAGCGAGTCTCAGAAGGGCAAGGTGCGACAAAGTACGGGTACGTACTCGTGGTAAAACACGACAACACATCTACGGTCAGCCGTGAAAGTGCATTGAGCAGAACTTGGGGCGAGAGCTCTATAGTCAGCGCCTTTGAGAAACCAAGACCCACCGCTGAATATTCACATCTAAATACCGATGGATTCGGTGCTCACGCCGCCATGCAGAATGGAACAAAGACTGGCCGAGCCGGTTCATGCCTGTCTGACGGGCGATTTCCACGCAGAGGGGGGGGGGG